AGTAGTTACCTCAGTGTGTCCATGGGAGTAGGGAATAACCCCGGGGAGTAGTTACCTCAGTGTGTCCATGGGAGGTAATTTATATGAAGAGGTTTAAAGGCTGCAGTCTGCTATATCTGTTCCTTAAGTCCCGAACCTGCCATGTATGTACCAGAGAGAACAAAGAAAATGTCCTACTATGGACCCAGAGGGTGTGTACTGAAGTTTACCCTGTGGCCCATCAGAGTGCCCGCCAACCTCGGTTGTTAGGTGTATCATTACAGGGAGCTGAATTTCCTGGTTCCAGCTGATAGACCACATTAGAAGTGACAAATCGAAAAGACGAAGGAGCTTCGTTAAAGTAAAACTGCACTGGAAACTATCAGTATGTGATTATCATTAGCGGAGGTATAGAAAAGCTGTTCACATCACAGGTACAGATTCAGTAAGCATAGTGGCCTGGGGTCATCTCATTTGAGGGCACCGTGGGGCTTCACCATTTCCAGTAATGAGTCGGTGGATCTAGCATTGGCCATCAAAGGCCACAAACACCAAAAAAAGAGACAAATGTGTGCCTCATGATGGCAGAGCTCCACTCACCCTGTCCCTTTCTCAGATGAAATTTGACTGTGGTCAAGCCTTTTCCTCAAGGCACTTTAAAGGAAATGTGGGACCAGGGAGCAGGTGTATACTCGACAGGACTCACTCTCTGAGCAACCAACAGCCCAGTTTCTTCAGAAGATGCATTGCAAGAAAGAAAAGCATAGGAGGAGACAGGACTCTACAGAATGAAAAATTAGTAAAGATTAATTAATTTCAGGGTAGCATTCATAAGGCCCCAGGATCAATCTCCAATATTGTCCCTCCCAAATAATTAATTAATTGGAATGTGTGGAATGTATCTTATTGAGACCATATTCTACACACACACACACACACACACACACACACACACACACACACACACACACACCCCTCTGATGTCTTTGGTTTCCTCTGGAAAGGCATCCTGGGCCTCACTGGAGCTACAGAGCCTTTACTGAGTCTGGCCCCTGGCACCCTGCTATCTCTAGCACAGAACTCAACCCAGACTTGCATTTCACCCTTAACCCTCAAGAGTAGCCAGGAAGGAGCCTTAGCATGTTGGAGCTCCGTGAACATTACTGGGGAAGTGAGCACTGTCGGAATCCCACAGCTCCTGGACAGATAGGCTGTACGTGAGTGTGTTCATGTCCTGGGCCCAGCTCTGCTGCTTGCAGAGTCCCTCCAGCATTGTTCTTTTCGGCTCTAGCTCAGAGAAGGAACTGCTCTACCTCTGGGTGGTTCTGCGTTACCTTCTTTTCTTCTGCTGCTCCTGCAGTCCTGAGGACTGAGCCCGGAGCCCGGCCCATGCTGTGCACACACTCTACACTGCACCCTGAGCAGTGTCCTCAGATCTTGCCCCAAGTGTGTTTGTAATCAGCATAGGGCACTGATCATCTGCAAATAGTATGTAGGTGTGTCACATGCCAGTCCATCTGTCTTCACATTGGCAGACAGGAACCTTTTCTGTGGGACCTTCAGGCGCCTTTGGGAACCTGAGCTGGAACTGAGGCCTCTGTCTTGGTTTGAACCTTGGGCCTTCGTTGCCAAGGTCTGTCACCTTTGGTCATGTAGCTTCTAATCTACTTCCCGAGCTTGGGGTGAGCCATGGAAGCAAAGGGTCTGAATGTGTGGCCGGGGTCCCTTGGTGTCTTGGGCTTAACCACCTTGGGCTTCACAGGGGCCTTGATGGCTTCTGCACGCGCACTCACTGCCTTCACATTGCTGGTCTGCATCTTCCTCAGGCCTTTCTTGTGCTTCCTGGCAAAGCGCATGTTCCTCAGGAACGTCGACCCCTTTTAAGAGATTTGTAACCAAAAAAAAAAAAAAAGCCGGGCGG